AAAAAAAAAAAAAAAAGAAGAAGAAGAAGAAGAAGAAGAAGAATGAAATGGCACTATATGCTAGTATGGAAAGAGTTTCAAAAAAATGCAAAAAGCGGCCAGCCACGGTGGCTCATGCCTATAATCCCAGCACTTTGGGAGTACAAGGTGGGTGGATCACAAGGTCAGGAGTTTGAGACCAGCCTGACCAACATGGTGAAACCCTGTCTTTACTAAAACTACAAAAATTAGCCAGGCGTGGTGGCACGCACCTTTAATCCCAGCTACACAGGAGGCTGAGGCAGGAGAATCACTTGAACCCGGAAGGCGAAGGTTGAAGTGAGCAGAAATCGTGCCACTGTACTCCAGCCTCAGTAACAAAGCGAGACTCCATCTCAAAAACAAAAAGTGAAAAAAGCAAATTACAGAATGTATAGAAATGAATACTTGTATCTTTGTATACCTGCATATGCATGGAATACTTCTAGTAGGTAATAACTTCTAGAAGTAATTTGGTGGCTCAGATGGAAGGATGAAAAAAGAATTTAACCTTTCCAATGTATATCTTTGTGTATCTTTTGTATTTTGTGCCATATACATATACTACTATACCAAAAAGAAAAAAAAAAACTCTATTTTTACATCTTTAAGCTTGATTTTGAATCTACATGGAGATATTAAACCGATCATTTTTAGATTCTACTTATCCACAGCTGACAGCTTTAGAAGCTCCCTAATACTGAAAGCCCTATAGATCAGAAAAAGATTCTACAATGGTAACACAGCATTTTGAACAAATCAAGAGACAAGTTTAACACAGAGAGGGTCTTTTGATTTCAACTGAAACTGGCGTTCTAACCTAGTATTAGTCAACTTTGCCCCTGTCCACCTTAGAAGTCAAACTTAATAAATAACACTTATTAAATACTGTGTATCCGAACACTGGACTAAGTACAGTAGATATTTAATAATTCCTGTAAGATAAAAATTTATTCATTTCCAATGTTTTGTAATAAAATTTTTTACATAGAGCGTTTTTCCATGTTTATTAATATTTAGGAGTCTCAGAAATGGAACAGAGTCAAAAGATATAAGGAGCCAGGCTCAGTGGCTCACACCTAGAATCCCAAAATTTGTGGAGGTCAAGGCAGGAGGATCACTTCAGCTCAAGAGTTCAAGGCCAGCCTGGGCAACACAGCAAGATCTCATCTTTACTAAAAATAAAAAAGTTAGCCAGACATGGTGGCACACCCCTGTAGTACCATGTGCCATAGTACCAGGATTTCTTGAGCCCAGGAGTTCAAGGCTGCAGTGAGCTATGAACATGCCACTGCACTCCAGTCTGACAGAACAAGACTCTGTCTCTAAAAACATAATAAATAAATAAAAATATTTTTTTAAAAAAAGCTTTGTTAAAGGCTGGCAAGGTTTTGTTTTGTTTTTTCTGTTTTGTTGTTTTTGAGACGAAGTCTCGCTCTGCTGCCTAGGGAGCGGGGTGGTGCAATCTCAGCTCACTGCAGGCTCCACCTCCCAGGTTTCAGCGATTCTCCTGCCTC